CAATTCCAATCACACACTCTTAAATTTTCGATTTTTATCTTGAAATACTATAAACTAACGTATATTATTATTATTATTATTTTGTATTTTTTATCTTGTTTATTTTTTATTTTCTGACAACACATTATAATTTAACTTATGTTTGCTTTTTTTTTATATTGAATTTTAATGTTAATATTTATTATTTTCTGTCTTTCTACTGATCAATGCCTTTCACACACTCGTAAATATCCGTCTTGAACCTTAAAATAGTCAGAGCTAATGTATATCATTATTTATTAGTTTTTATATTGTTTTTATATTGTATTTTGTTAATTTTTGTTTTCTGAAAACACATTATAATTTTTTTATATTGAATTTTAATATGAATTTTTATTATTTTTCATCTTTCTAATTATCAATTTCTGTTACATACTCGTAAATTCTGCTTTGAATCTTGAAATACTCAGAGTTAACGTATATCATTATTTTTTATAGTATTTTGTTGATCTTTTATTTAGTAACAACATATTATAATTGTCTTTTTATGTTTGATATTTTTTATAATGAATGTTGATATTAATTTTTATTATTATTGTCTTTTTAATTACCAATTTCCGTCATAAACTCGTAAAGTTCCGTCTTGAATCATGAAATAATCAGAGCTAATATATATCATTATTTTTTTGGTTTTAGTATTTTATATTTTGTTGATTTTTATTTTCTGACAACAAATTATAATTATCTTTTTATGTTTGTTATTTTTTATATTAAATGTTAATGATAATTTTTATTGTTTTCTGACTTTCTAATTATCAATTTCCATCACACACTCGTAAATTTCTGTCCTAAATTTTTAAATATTTAAATCTAATGTATATAATTATTTTTTAGTTTTTTTATTTTATTTTCTGAAAAGATATTATAATTATCTTTTTAATTTTTCTGTTTTATAATAAATGTTAATGTTATTTTGTATTTTAGAAAACAATTAAATGAAAAATAATTATTGATATAGTTACTGAGGTGGCAGCACCAGAAGTAAGAAAAGGTAACTTGACTATTTAAACTCTAACTAGGTGATAACCCACGTATACACGCGGGTTTATATTTTTTTATATATTTTAAAATTTATAATTAATATAGTATTGTATTTTTTACTTTAATGATAAAATAATTTTAAAGTTGTTAACTATATAAATATAGAAATATTGTTTGAATTAATCTGTATACTCTTTTAATTATAATTGTTTTATAAGTTTTAATTTCTTCATACTAAAATTCTCATTAAAGTGTTTTTTAAGTTTTTTTTATCATTGAATATGTATTTTATACATTCAATTTTTCTATATTGTTATAACCTCGTATATTAATAAGTTGATTAATAAATTTCATATCATTTTATTAAATAAAATTCAAGAATTTAATTTTAAAGATTAATATTTTCTTACCATCCCAAATTTTCTTTAAAATGCGTTTAACCGATATTAGTAGTATCATCCTAATTTCTGTGATTACTTATCTATATTATTTTATGAATTTATATTTTCACAAATTTTAATCTTAAATTTAACTTGCAAGAATTGAAAAAATTGATAAAAAGAATTATTATATATTTTTCAAACATTAAATAAATAATTAGATATTAAATGAGAATTAATAATAATTTACTACACTCATTCGCTATAGTGGCTTATGTATATTCTCTTTGAATAAGTTGGTTTTTTCAAAATTCTGGTTTTTCTATTTGTCACAACTCCACTTACATCCCATTGTGAATTTTTCGTATATACTCTTTCTACTAACACTATCAACAGCTAGTATTAAAAGTAGTAGTCGCCCTTAAAAAAAAGAGATAGGAAAACAACGTTGAAAAGCTAAGAGAGTTATAATCTTAACATCAATTTGGTGGATCCGATTTTTATAGGTGACATATTCCATTTTGATCTTGAGAAGAATTACAAGAATATTTTTTTATAAATAAAAATAAATATATCAAAAATAAATAAATTAATAAAGATATGAGACATATATAAAGAGTGTATACCATGTTTGAATATCATATATTTCTGAGCTTTAGAATATGAATTCATTTTGCACAGCAAAGCCGTCAATGTTAACAAAATAGAAAGTGCCAGAAACTATTTATTATTATTCTTTGTGTAAACAAAATAGAAAGTGCCAGAAACAATTTATTCTTATTCTTTGTGTAAGATGATACATATGTACAGTATCAAAATTATCCATCACTTGCGTTCTATTTTTGTGATCAAGCATCAGTCTGGCAAAAACTTCATTAACTTTCTGGGATCATCAAAACTCCTTCATCGAACAACTGGGCTCTGAGTGTAATGGTTAACTAATAATAAGTAAGAAAGTTGACATTTCGGTACAAACCATTAAGTCTCTGTTCCCATTGAAACACATTATCAATATAATAATAATCATCGTGCCTTCCCTAGAGATAACACATCAATTTTTTAAAGCTTTATAAACATGACACCTCAGCAAAAATAATTATCAACTAGAACATTTTATTAATACAACTTATCTATTTATTTTAATTAAATTTAAACTCATTAAAAAGCCAAATATATTTTTATTAATCTTTGTTTTATTTTTACCAAACTCAAACCCAAATAAAAATAACAACAAATAAAAAAAATCTTTATTTTATTTTTTGCCAATCCAAAACCCAAATAATAAATAAAAAAAATATTTATTTTATTTTTTGCCAAACTCAAACCCAAATAATAAATAACAGCAAATAAATAATAATAATAAATTATAGCTATCTCTTTGTTTGAAGAATACGTATATAATTGAAAAAAGTGTAGGCTCAGCATCGACTATGCTTCCATGACAACAACGCAAAAAAATTTATGTTATATGAAGCTCGCACATCAGCAAAAATTTGAACCAATAAAAAACATAACAATAATACATATTATCAACACAATAATAAAATCAGTTTATTATTTTGCAGACCCATTAAAAAGCCCAAGGTTTACAAAAAATGGAAGTCAAAAGCAAATGAGGAGAAGCTCAGACCATCCCAGCTTGAAGATTCGTATTTCCGGTGGTTATCGAGAACAAATCAATAATTTTTCGATTACTCTCAGTTTTGATAAGAAATGCAAATTTTTGGCTTTTGACTGATAATGCGATTTTTTGGTTTTTACGCAAAAATATGATTTCATACTTTTCGCGGGAAATTGCAATTTAACTATTTTGGTGGAAAATACAATTTCTTGATTTGATGGAAAAATAAATTTCTCATTTTTGGCAGGAATAAGCAATTTCTCGGTTTAGATGGGAAATGCAAATTATCAGTTTTTGACGAATAATGTGATTTTTTGGTTGTCATGGGAAAATGCAATTTTCTAATTTTCGCCGGAAAAAAAAAATTCTCAGGAGATAATGCAATTTTTGGTTTTCACGGAAAATTGTAGTTTATTTGTTTTGGTAAAAAAACGTGATTCTTGTTTTGACGAGAAAATAATTTTTTTGGTTTTAACGGAAATAGACAATTTCTCAGGTTTCACAGTAAAATAAATTTTTTGGTTTTGACAAGAAAATACAATTTTTTTGGTTTTTGTAGGAAGATGAAATTTTTTGGTTTTGGTGAAAAATGTGATTTTTCAGTTTTGGCTGAAAAACACAGTTTCTCGCAAGAAAACAAGTTCTCTCAAAAAAATGAAATTTTAGGTTTTAGATTTGACGAGAAAATAATTTTTTTATTTTGACGGGAATAGGCGATTTCTTAGTTTAATGGGAAAATAAAGTTTTTTGGTTTTGACAGGAAATACGATTTCTTGGTTTTTGTAAGTAGATAAAATTTTTCTGTGCTAAATTTCTAAGTTAAAGTATGTTTATAGTAACAAAAATTTAATTGTTTAACTTCAACTAAAACGATATTTCAACCGTTCAAACAGAATTTTCTATTTAGTTCTAAAGCAATAGCAATGGTTTTGATATGAATGTTATTGATTATAGTTTGGTAGTTTTAGAAACATATGTTTATAATAAATATTTGATAAATAAATAAATTTTTATAATCCAAGATAATCATATTAATTAATAATTTTTTTTAAATGACATTTTGCTTTATATAATTAGAAAGAGAATCAAATGGTAATTTATTGGAGAAAATAGATTACATTTGTCATTAGCATGAAGGTACTAAAAGTGTATTACTTTATTCTTACATATACATTTATAACTAGATAGCTAAAAAATTTAATAGTAAATTATAATTTTGAAAAATAAAAAAAATTAAAGATATACAATATTTATTCAAATTTAAAACATATAAATACATAACTTAAGCTAATAAGAAAATAAATATAATACTCATTTAGATTTTTAAAATAATTTTATTATATTAAAATTATATACAAAATTTTAAAAAATAACTCGCAGCGTAATGCGGGTAAATACCTAGTTTACTTGTAAATTCATGTTGGTCCCTATACACAAAATGCATCTAGGAGAAAGATAAAGAGAAAATAAGAATCACCTTCTACCGCGAGGCATTAGGAGAATAGATGGCAAGAAAGGGCATCACCGGGCTAGTTGCTTCAATAAAATGTCTTCTTCCACATTAACATAAGCTTCTTGATGAAGAGCCTGAAGGAATGTGGCTCTTTAGAGTGTCAGCACGAACATGATCTAGTGAAGCTATAATTACTCCGCGAGCCGAGTATGTGAGGGACAACACCAGCGAGGAAGGCGTTGAACTTGAATGCACTTTGCTCATCGTCATCATCATAATGGCCACAGTGGATCATACAATCTTAGACCTTAGTCTTTGAGACTGTCTCCAAGTATCTAGGGAATCATCTTATCTAATCTCGGAACATGGAATACAGCCTTGAACGTTGCAGAGTTATATTTACAAAAAATGAAGCCTTTTTAATATAATACAATAGTCGTTTTAATCACCATAGACATGAGAGTTAATGTAAAACTTATCTATTACTATTATAAAATAGACAATAACCATCATTTCACTAATCTTATATTATATTTGAATATGTACAATCATCCCATGTCTTTCTCTTATTGCAAGCAACACAATAAACATGAGAGGTTATGTAAGCCAAGCTAGAAAGAGAGACCTTGTTTATATCAGCACCGCTATTGAACCGGGCTTCTGAAATGTAATCTCCTATGTGCCTCGTGAGATGACATCCATCGTCGACAACTTGTTGCAATGGATCCAACACATTATGAACCAATCTCAGAAATGTTCCATCTACACAGCAAAAACGAACAAACTCTAAATTTAGCTTTATAGTTTTAAGAATCTTCCAACGGTATAGATTCTCCAAGCTGTTCAAATCAACAGCAAATGTAGCATCATGGTATAACCAAGAAGGACCACTTCTGGTGGATGTTTATCACAAACTTACGGCGTGAATGAATCTGAATTCTTGGGATTTTAATTCTGCTTCTATATCGGATTTTCGTGCGTAGCTTTCCATTTTAGCGTTTTGATCAACACCAAGAACAGAAACGTTTGGAATAGTGGAGTGTTACTTGAAATTGGGACCTTTTCTAATCCCAATCTCCAAAACCTTTTTTGCTTTTCCCACCAAGTTATCAAAGAGTTTCAATTAACATGACAAAAAAAAAAAAGATGATTGTAAGATCAGAAGAATGATATCAAAAGTAACATCTGTCTCGTAAGATTCCGTTCATGTATTCATACACCAAGCGAAGAGCTCTTCGTAGGAATATTTTCAAATCATCCTAATAAAAAAAGATCTTTAGATGGTTAGAGGATTTATTCCTTCATCAATTTCTAGATAAGCCCTAAAGTTCTACCATTTGGGGGAAAACAAATTTGTGATTTTTTCTTTTTAATTCGACATTCTCCAGTCATAGATCGTATAACTCCACCTTTAGTATCAGGGCGATAGCACAAAGCTGTAACAATCTCTCTTATATCTGTATAGCCAACAACCCTGAAACGGGAGTCATCTCATATACGGACTTTGCCATCAATCGATCCGCTAATAAGAACTGAGTGCCACACATGTCACTGTAAGGAGAAAGGAGAAAGAGGGTTCGACACATACCAAAATCATCCGCATTGAAGAAGACACATATAAGGAAAGAAACTCACCAAAACTCTTAATGAAAGAAAACTCTGATACACTCATCAGAAGAGACAATTCGCCACAACCGAATAGTCTCGTCAACAGAATAGAAACTGCAAAGTGATAGAATAGGAAACATAATAATAAAATGATTATATGTATATTCTGCAATTACTTAGATTGATTCACCTAGATACTTCTGTAACACTATATATTGATTATGCAATACATAGAGAAGGGCACGGTTTGTGCTTTATCTATTAACATGGTATCAGAGCTTTTCTATTAAAAAAAAAAAAATTCTTCTTCTCCAAAAAACCGACTTCTTCCTTTTCTTCTCTTATTTCTTATTTTCTCCACCAAATCGTTACTCCTCTTTCTCTTTTCTTCCCTTCATCTTCGTCTCAATTTCTCCTTCAATGGCGGCTAATACTAATCCATCGGCTGCAAGCCTTACTCAGATCCGCGCTCACATCCCAATCACCCTCGATATGCAAAAGATGAATTACGATTCATGCGAATTCTCTTCGAAACTCACTGCTTCAGCTTCTCCCTCACAGGCCACATAGATGGCTCTTCTCTTCCCACGGGTCCAGCAGATCTAACCTGGAAACAACTTGATAACACCGTAAAGATGTGGATCTATGGCACTATTTCTGAATCTCTTCTTACCTCCGTTCTGAAAACCCAATGCTCTGCTCGTGATCTCTGGCTCACCCTTGAGAACCTATTCTGCGACAACAAAGAAGTTCGTGCGATTCAATTGGAGAATGAACTCCGCACACTCACAATTGGAGATCTCTCGGTTCATGACTATTGTCAAAAACTCAAGAAAATCTCGGATACACTAGCCAATGTGGAGTCTCCAATTAGCGATCGGGCCTTAGTTATGCATCTTCTCAACGGACTCAGCTCCAAATTTGACAACATCTTCTACTACACAGTCACTTCCCCAAACTACCACGCCTGCTCCACCTCCCATCTCTGATCATATATTAAACGACCCATCCAACTCACAAGATACGACCTCTCATCAAGACCTCACTACTATACCATCGTCATCATCTTCCGATCCTCCCGTGTCTACAATTCCTTCTATTACTGCTCCAACCTCTTCCACTCTTGCAACTGCTTCTGCTCTTATTCCCTCTCAACGAATTCGCACACGACGTACAACCAATCAAAACAAAGCCTTTGCTTCTATCCCCTCTCAACGCGTTCACACTCGGAGTCGAAGTGGAATTACTAAAAAGAAATCAATTATCTCTCTTCACACTGATACAATTTCTCCTCTCCATCTTTCTCATATCGACGCTGCAACAGATAAATTCTGGAACAAAGCTATGAATGTCGAGTATGATACTCTTATTGATAGAGGCACGTGGACTATTGTTCTGCGGCCCTTAAACACTAATATTGTGCGTTCCATGTGGCTTTTCCGACATCAGTTTAATGCAGATGGTACTCTCTCTCGCTATAAAGCTCGCCTTGTTGCAAACAGCAAATCGCAACAAATTGGTATTGACTGCGATGAAACGTTTAGCCCTGTCGTCAAACCTGCTACAATACGCACAGTTCTTCATGTAGCTGTCTCTCTCCAATGGCCTGTGCATCAACTGGATGTCCAGAATGCATTCTTATACGGTGATCTCGATGAAACAGTGTATATGCATCAACCACCCGGATTCGTTGATCCCACTCGGCCAACGCATGTTTGTCTCCTCAAAAAATCTCTCTACGGACTTAAACAAGCCCCTTGTGCTTGGTACCAACGTTTTGCCACCTTTGCCACCAAGATCGGTTTCAAACAAAGTAAATCCGATGCATCCTTATTTGTTCTCTGCCGTGGAAAAGAGTTGGGATACCTTTTGCTCTATGTTGACGACATTGGCTTCACTGCTTCCTCCATTACACTCTTAAGGTCGATCATAACATCTCTAAACTCTGAATTTAATATGACTGATCTTGGCAAACTTCACTATTTTCTTGGCATTGCTATTACCAGGGACAACAATGGAATGTTCTTAAGCCAACAAAACTATGCTGCAGATATCATTCATCGAGCTGGGATGTCCAACTGCAACACTTGTTCAACACCAGCAGATACATCATCAAAGCTTGCTGTGAATGTTGGACCCCCTGTCGCAGACCTTACACTCTACCGCAGCCTCGCCGGTGCCCTGCAATACCTCACATTCACAAGACCAGACATAGCTTATGCTGTCCAACAAGTGTGTTTACATATGCATGACCCTCGCGAACCTCATTTCAATGCTCTAAAACGCATCATCCGCTACATCAAAGGCACCATCACACACGGACTCAAATTGAAACCAACCTCCATCTCTAAAATCACAGCCTACACTGATGCTGACTGAGCTGGCTGCACCACAACACGCCGCTCCACTTCAGGTTACAGCGTCTTCCTCGGCGATAATCTTGTCTCATGGTCCTCAAAACGACAGCCCACCGTATCTCGTTCAAGTGCAGAATCGTGGTGTCGCAAATGCAGTCGCTGAATCAACTTGGCTACGAAATCTGCTCCTTGATCTCCACTGTCCAATCTCCACTGCCACAATAGTCTACTGTGACAACGTTAGTGCGATTTATCTCTCCACAAACCCAGTTCAACACCAACGCACAAAACATGTGGAAATTGATATACACTTTGTTCGTGAACGAGTAGCTCTTGGTGATGTTCGAGTTCTTCATGTCCCTTCTGCCCACCAATATGCAGACATTTTCACCAAAGGTCTTCCATCTTCCCTTTTCACAAGTTTTGGCTCCAGTCTAAGCGTTCAACAACCATACGCTAAGACTGCGGGGGAGTGATAGAATAAGAAACATAATAATAGAATGATTATATGTATATTCTGCAATTACTTAGATTGATTCACCTAGATACTTCTGTAACACTATATATTGATTATGCAATACATAGAGAAGGGCACGGTTTGTGCTTTACCTATTAACACAAAGCACATTCACAAGTTGTTGGTACCATCATCTCATATTTTCCACATTCACGCCGCCGTTGCCTCAGGCGTATCTCCTTTTTCGTTCTCCTACTCCACCCGTCGCGATTTCTCATACGGGGTCACCTGGACGCATTTCGGGAGATCGCCTGTTTCAGCTGCGTCTTCGCTTCCGGTGTCAGGATGGATAAGCGTCTAGAGAGAAGAGGAGAGAATAGGAGAGAAGAAGGCGAGGAGAAGATGGAATGTGGAAGCGGACGATATAAATTAAGCTAGTGACTTCTCTAAATTCTAAGACCAACCCAATGATCATTTCTAGAGGTCTAACGAAGGGATTTTAATAATACTAGAGATTGTGCCGGGCTACGCGCAGATTTGTTTATAACTTTATATACATATATATTTTTGTTTTATTATAATATTTACAAATAATTGTTAGAAATAAAGTATTATACATTGTTCTGAAACTATTAGCATATCTAATCAAAAATATTTACATATGATTTAAATGTATTGAATATTTAGATTAAATATATCTAATAACTTCAAGTGCATAGGTTTTTTTTCCTTTTTTAACTTTAAATACAAAAAATTTTGATTACTGTTGATAGGAAATCTTTGGCGATGAAAAATATTATGATTTCTATTTTGGTGGTTGAATCTTGTACATATAATATTTAAATGCTTTCTATTTCTCCTATCATCAGTACATATTGGAAAAAATAAAAGAAAAAAACAGATAATAATTAGTCTTTTCAACTCCTGCTTATAGCTGGATTGTCTAGCTGAAACTCTTTAATCCTCTTTTTGTTCTAAATACCCATCTATCCGCCAAGCCTGTGAAGACAACGAATAAGTTTGATTTACTGAGAAAATATCAATAGGAAAATGAAGTCAAAATTTTAATTTTGATTATTTTATGTTCGTCTTTAACTTAGTACAAAATGTTTTAAAATAAAAAACAGCAATCTCAAAGAATCTTTACAAACTTAGACTCTAACAAAGGATCAACATAGCTTAAGAAATTTTTTCTTGGATGTTTCATTCTTATTTATAGTTTTGTTGGATGTTTTCTACCATTAGTAAGCTTTTCTATACAAATCCATGGGAGAACGTCACTTATAACTATTTTTTTTATTTTATATGGTAGCACTTATATATTTTGAGATTTTTTCGGCGTTACTAATTTACATGGAGAACACCAAATTGGTAATTACACACTGTGTTGTTTTTACTCAATGAAAAATACCTTTCCTCTATTGTTTGGTATTGTTATTATGATTATTATAATAAGATCCCATTGCATCATCTTCAATTGTATGATATAGACAATAGTTTGAGTTTGAGTGCTTGGAAATCAAACATGGATGTCCTGGCAATGGAAGCCCAAGTATAGGATTTCTTTGTTCATACTTTCTCTTAGCACAAGCATAGGAAATCTCTCATGTTTTAGAGCTTTCTTAGTTTTTGCAGTCCATTTTCTTAGTCCAATATATTTGTCTCAACAGAATTTGGCCATATTCCTGGGACAAAAAAAAAGCCTACTGATGGTATACAGCTAAGTTAAGATGACTTACGGTAAATCAAAGACTATAATGAGAAACGGATGATCACATATACCGATGTCCAATTAAATGGTCTAAGTGTGTTTTCCTTTTTATGTCATATACCGATGTCCAATTAAATGGTCTAAGTGTGTTTTCCTTTTTATGTCCTATCAGAGGCTCATAGATTAACATTATGATAGACTAAGAAACTTAGAATAGGCAATTTGCAGCTATACATTAGCCAGACACAGTTTTTAGCAGCTTGTACAAAAAAATATGATGGAAGCAACGTACCCAAAATAGCTAAGATAGTAAGAGACATTAAATTAGCTTAAAGAAGCTAACCTAAATGACATTATTCAAAAGTATTAAAAACATTAAGAACTTTATGTTTTATCGTGCAGCTTTGTTAGATTTCGGAGTCAATATGAAGGAATCGATACAAAATCACTGTTTAGTTTACAAATATAGATATTGCTCAACTCATATGGTCTAACAGCATAATTGTAAATTTAATTATAGATACTAACGTGAGACTGAGAGAATATTTAGCTATCACTGTTTTCAATAACCCATCAACCACTTCAAATG